AGATAAATCACTCAGCTTTCTGCTGTTATCTTAAAATAATATTTTCCCCGTGTCTCTGTCTTTTCATTGATTTATCCCTGTGTACAACATGAGGACATCAGTCATGTTAGATCAGGGACAAAAGTAATGATATATTCCACTGGGTTACCTCTGTAAAGACCCGGTTCCCAAACAGGGCCATATTCTGAGGTACTGGAGGTTAGGGCTTCCATATATGGGGTTGTTGTTCTTCTTCTTCTTTTGAGAGGGGAGTGACACAATTCAGTCTACAAAATTTCACGTGCACAAAGCCAGGGCTGTTTTGCAAAGGACGATCTCTGAACAGTGCTCCTCAACCACCTTAACACCTCACGTTTCTGAGAAACAGTAGAGGAATTGCAGTCAAAAGCAGACAGAGGGTTTGGCTGGTGGCACTTTTCAGAAGCTGAAGATATAGGACACTAAACCATATCCAAATTTGTCTGAGCCCTTTATCAAAATGCCTTTAAAGGCTTCAAATTAATTTAGTCACCCTATATTGCATAAACTTTTATTTTTGTCTCTTCTCAGCGGTACCTAATTGAGTCCCTAAAGTGCAATAGATGTATATATTTCCCTTTCCAGCAGCTATGAAAGATAAACCTAGAAAATGAACACAAAGTTTCTGTGGAAAGCTATGCATCATTGCTTTCATGGTGGCTGTTGGTTTACAGGGAGGTATTTGTGATTCTTTTTGTGGCTTTGAAGCCCCAGGGGAGAGGAAATTGTCCATACAAGCAAATCAGATTTGAGAATAAAACCAATATTTTAGAAATGAGAACATCTATATTATGATTTAAAGCACATATGTCAGATGAGATTTTAACTTTGGATATTTTGCCAGATTGTCACTGTAATATAAAAGTGAAATAAATTTATTATAAAACAATATGCACACTATTGAGAGTAGATTTTAGGTTATATGCTTTCAGCCTCCCAGCTGCACTCTGGGGCCCTTAAAAGCGAGTCTTCAGTCTATATAGCAGTTGGGAGAGACAGGGGAGCATAGTTTTGGAATGAGGTGATTATATCATTGTATTCTTTTCTTACTTTGCCTTGGATTCGTCTGAGTCCACCCACCCCCTTATCCACTGCAATGGAGTTCAGGCCAGTGGACTTATTATGTTCCTACCAGTTCTAAAATTGTGTGCATTTGTTAAAGTTAAAATTATAAATTCTTTTAAAAAAATATATAATACAATCCATTTGAAGTTTCTCTATTCAAGAATCACTTTCTATTGCATTTATTATTGTCTTTTAATAGTGGTTAGATCATTTTTCCTTAGCACAGAAATGAAATTCTACAGATTAGTTACAAAAAAATGAAACACACAGAGAAACAACCAGGAGTGATCTGACATTTTTGTTTAGTGGAGGCTGAAGCAGAGTTTCATTTTTAATGGGTATAAAGTAAATGTGTATTGTGCTCTGTCATTAAAAAATGAGGAATTAAAACATACATATACATGAATTTTATGGAGCTTTCTGAAATGTTCCCCATTCAAAATTCATCGACTTTCTCCTACAAAAGAACCATCAGGAAACTGACAAATGGAGAAACACATTAAAAGAAAAACACTAAACTCTGTGATAGTTTACCATGCTTCCTAAGATTTTACAATGAAAGAGCTGCAATGCTTAACTGCTTATCTACCAGCTTATTAGCTCTTAGTCTTGCACAGGAGCCTTGAAGTCAAGTATGAGCTTAAATTTATTTACTGCCCATCAATTGGGGAAGGCAGTAGCTTACACAGATCAGTCCTTTGACAGTTTGGGCACCAAAACCTTTGATGTTTTTTAGCTAAATGCAGAGACAAAGCCAAGGGCTCTGTCCAACTGGTCCCTGCCCTTTGGTCTCTGAGGAGTTTGGGCAATGAGAACTGCAGGGTTAGGGTAAGGTGAGCTGTGATTCCCTTCAGAAAAGACACTGAGGGCAAAAGCAAAGCACAGAGCGCAGCTTGGGGAGTGCTACCAAGAAGACGGGGCACTAGAGATGCGCTTTGGAGTGGAGCTGAGCTCAACATTATGGTCAGGGGAAGGTCAGAACCTGGGGCAGCAGCACCCTGCCCACTCAGATGCCAACCTTCCGGCCATTCCAGCGGGTACATTCCATTTGCTTTTCATTATCAACATGCCAGTGGGGCTTTTGTTTCTTATAAATAAGGATGACAAACAAATTAAGCTCTAGCAGGTGCAAAGAGCTTATTCTGTCCTGAGCTAAAATTGTCTTGGCCACACAGGCTGGTGGCAAGGGGGTGCTCTTCTTCCTCCACGCAAAACTCGTGCTCCTGGGTTCCAGGCTTAGCGCTGCACAAGCAAATGGAGCGGTGGAGCAAATCGTTTTGATCTGATAGTGATTATCAGAGCAGTTACAGACTGCTGCATTGCTTGGGCGAAAGTCATTTCAAAACTCGGTATCTGAGCAGTCTTGGTGAAGTTTGGCAGCTGCATGCAAGCAGCTTTAGTGGCGATCTGCCATTCAGAACAGCTCCCCGGGGCTCATGGGTCCAGCTGCTTCTCTGAGCTGTATCACGGTGCAATTTTGAAGGGTAGGATGAAATTCCAGCATGTAACACTGTGTCTACAAATCACAATTTCCACTGGAGGAACCAGATTGTCCCCCGGGTAATAGGGAAGAGGAGTTAATATGCTAATTTGAGTCTGAATTCAGCCCCCTTGCTCTTTTGATTTTCATATTACTTCTCCCACTTATGCTTGTGCACACGTCAATCTGAGAATCCTGTAGCAGAATGGACAACCAGCTGTCTGGGGTGGGGGCAGCCCTGTCCCTGACAGGCAGGATGCAGATTAGGCATCCCCGGAGGCTCCCTCCAGTCAAGCTCTGAAACATGCCTTATCTCACATAAACTTGGTTCCCTCTGGAGAAACTTTAAGAGGGTTTGCTTTTGCCAAGAATTTCTTTTGGTTTTCAGCTTAATTAATAGTGATGCAAAGGAACCAAAATAAGCTATTTTCAGTCTGTGTAAATGCTGATTTCCTCCCTCTTACTTGGAAAGATATTTATACTGAATTTAGTAGCTCAGAAACACCTAGAAGAACCATTACACCTGCAAAGAATAAAATGATGTCTAGATGTTCTAAGGTGTTTTCCACTTCCTGTTTATCTCTAGGTTTTATTTGAGAAATTTTAACAAACTAAAAAGTATTTAAGTCATTGGAAGCAAGCATGGTCTATATATATATATTTCATGAAAAGAATTTCACTAGAAAAGGAAACTAGGTCTTCTTACAATATTGTAAAATTTCACTTTTTCAAAAAAAAAATTGAGTCCACTACTCTATGGCATGTGTCATACAATGAGGCAGGGATGCAAAAATAAATTAACCCTGCATATCCCCTGAAGATTTCCTCTAATGGGTGGCCAGACGTGCAAATGATTGCAGTGCTGTTTAATTGGTAAAGCAGTCGTGTGCATGGTGCAGTTGGTGTATGTGATAAGCAAAGATCAAAGACAGCTTTACAGAGGAGGAGGCTATGAACCAAGATGAAACAGGTCCATGGGGCAGGGAAGAAAAGCATAGAAATGTGTGGGGGTCAGGATTCGAGGTGGAAAAGTCAAGCAAGCCGCAATGCAAGGACATCACAGGACACATTCTGTGTGTGTAGAGCTACAAGCATGTTGTTAGGACAGGAACACAGATTTCAAGGAGAAATTCCTGCTACGTGAGATTGGATTGGGAAGCAAATGTCAGATGACTAGAGTAATACAATATTTTTATATTTGACATATCACCTACTTCGTGACAGATACCGAGCTAAGCAATGAAGAGGACACTAATATTTCTAACAGGTGAATAAGATAAGCAGACATATTAGAAAGATTACTATGGAAAAACTCTAAATCTAAAGATTCAAGAGATGAGTCAGGGTGTTACAGTAAAGTGTCCAACAATAGCAATCTGTTCCACTCCCTGGCTGCTAAGCTGTTAGCTTTTCCACATCCTTGGGTCTCACCCCTACCAAGAGGCCTTTCTCAAACACCTCGGTGAGATTAGGCCCCTTGATTCCTACGTTGACAGGCCATCCGGCCCATTTTCTGCATACTGATTACGCAAACTGTTCTAACTGCCTTTGTCATTATTTTTCTGGGCCCTCACCCCTTAGCTTGTTAGTCTCCCCTGACAAGGATGCTATTTGTCTTGCCTATGCAGTCTTAGCTCATGGTAGGTGCTCTTTTTTTATTTCTGTATAAATAAATGATAGGTTAGGGAATATAATATTAAATAAAGGAAGAAGAAGGGTAAGAGGAATGTTTAAAAAGTAAGATCGAAAGAAAGAGCTAAGTGAAATGGGGAGGGGGAGGAGAGAGAAATCTGGGATGAACCCCATGTCTCTAGCTTGGATAATTAATACCAATAATAATTGTGACTTAAGTGTGGGGTAAGACTATGTCTTAAGTTTGAATCCTACTGCAATAATTAATTGCATCACAGCTAATTGAATTTCATTTCCTTTGAAAAGTTTTGGTAAGATTCTAATCCCCTTCCAGTGTATTTTCCAAAACTTTTAATGTGGAATATTCTTGTAAAAGATTAACACATACAATTTAGGCTGATTCTTCTTTGTTTCCAGCTCAGGAGATGATGGGTATGTGTTTTCTTCACATTTCTGGCATTCATCCACTATCAAAGCTGGGCTCTTTGGCATCTGGCATGGTAATTTAAAAAAATTTCAAATTCATTAAATTAAAGACTTGTAAAAGTTGAGGGATATTGTTATCTTTGCAGTCATACCCAGTTTTGGTATTAGTTTGTGCTTAGATGTGAAATAAAAACAGAAATAACATGGTAAATCTATAATTATATTGAAGTTTGAAACTCTATGTACGTAAAACCTCGTGCTAGTTAAAGGAAGATTACTAAGAGCAGCAGGTGAGTGTTTGGTATCAAGAACATTCATGCAATCATCTCCTCATTTATCCCTTTCATTTAAGTGAAAAGTATTATCTGTTTCTTTCCAGTTACACACAGAGGAAAGGAAAAAGACAAAGAAAAATCAAAAGAAAAAGAAAAACCTGAAAGGAAAGGTATATGATTATTCTGTTTTGCCATCTTAATGTTAAATTCTCTTCTTTTAACGTCCCTTTTTTACTGTCAGATTTCAGGTGACCTTATGTTTCTTCTTTTAAAATGATATTGTGATTTTTTTCCCTTGGGATAGAATCTGAGAAGAGTTTCTGGACAGAAGGGCATAAAGTACTCAAGGGTCTGGAACTCTGTGACCGCTTCACTTTCTAAAAATGTTTTATCAACTTTTCCCCTTGTGGTTTTGAGCCTGGCTTAGCTAGCAATGAAACTATTGTTTTAGAAAATACTAGCCAGTTTTATAGATGAAAAGCTGCTCTCGTGACTTCAGCTTGCATCACCTCTTAGACCTCGTGGACTGCATGTTGTTGTTAGTTTCTGTCTTTTTCCTTTAGCGGAGACGGCCAGCGTGCTCCCTTGCCAGCCCCGAGTGCCTGGTGTGGCTTTTCCTCTCCTCCGGCCCACTATCCAGCTCCACCCCCTCTGCCCATCTGCTCAGTGCCAGCCACTCCTGGCAGCATTATGTGCAGCCTTCCAGAACTTCGTTAACTACACGGATGGCTCACACCACTGTCATTTATAATACATAATTGTATTATATGAAAATAATAGTCTGTTTTCCTAATATAGCATGAACAGTACAGATTATTGCTTCCCCTATTTTTTACACAAAAATCTAACATGTCTTATTTTACCACTTTTCTAATTAAAAATATGTCCTAAAGATTTTTTTCCACACCTAGAAATAAATACTCCCCTCATTCTTCTAAAAAGGGTGCACAGCACTTAAATGACATTTTCTTTCATCATACCTTTCGGCTGCTTGTTATTGGTAGACTGAACAGTTCAAATATAATTTTTAGCGGTTGACATTTCTTCTTGTACCACTGTTTACACTCATTGTTCTTTTGTTCATGTGTGTGTGTGTGTGTGTGTGTGTTTGTGTGTTTGGGGTATGTACATCTCTTAGTCTAACACTTTTTTCATATATTTTCATCAGTTTATTTTGCAGTCGAAGTCAGGGCTCCTATCTGTGTAAATGGACATATACAAATGCACACATTTATGCATACATGTGAGTTCAGATTCTTGAATTTTCATGTGACAAGATGTTAATATTTTCCTTTGATATTTCTAATTTTGAGACTTCCTCAAGGATTAACTGAATAAGTACTAATATTTTTCTTAAGTTTAAAAAAACTGTCCATATTTACAGTTAATTTTATTTCATCAAAACTCCATTTCAATGTGTGATGTATCGTAAGCATCTAATTTTGTGCTCTTGTTTTAGAGTGGATCACGTGTAGGGTATTTGAGTTGTTTATGCATCCACAGTCCACGAAGCCTGCTACATAGTCATTTCTGACACTTCCCATTTAAAAGGAAAATGGTAGAGGACTATGATATTTATGAATCAGATCAGTAGAAACATGCTTCAATATTATTTATAATACATGTGGAATGGAATATTTGAATGAAATAATCATTCATTCATTCATTCATTCATGTTTGCTTAACAGTACTTCCCATGAATTCCAGTAAAGCCCTCTTATTTTTCTGTTCTAGAAACAGGTGTCCATTTCTCATCTGCTGGTGAATGGTACAGAATTACAAGCTCCAGGTCCTGAGAACTCTGACTCAATTAACTAACCTGAACATTCTTACGAAGTTTTTCAACCTTCTCAGTAGCTTCTTTGTTAAAAGTTATTAAGAATGTTCTTGCCATTAAATTATAAATTTTGTAAGAAATGTAACCAGTTTGCAAAGCAGAAATAGGACGCTGTGTAGTGCTCTTTTTGCTGTATATCAAATACAAGAGGGCTGTTCCGAGCGCAGTGTGAATGGTGCCCACTTGGCTCACTGTGGCGCTCCCCTTGCTGACTTTGTCAGCTGCTCCTGTGGGCAAACTGGGTCCCTGCAGAGGAGGCACCTGCTTTGGGGCAGCTTCCAGTCTGCCCCTTGGCCTTCAACTGTGCCTTTTGTTTTCTGCTTTCTATGAGGCATTTGTGGTTGGTCCAAGATTCTGGGAAATTATTCTTGGTCTGCATCTTAGGCTGCTTCTGTGTTTGTATAAAATGCCAAAGACTGGGGAATTAAGAAGAAAGTTGTTACTTGGGCTCCCCTTCTGGTGAGGTCCTTCCTGCTGACTTATAGGCAAGAGTCAAGGAAGAAAGCCTTGTTTATACCATCACTCACTCTCGTAAGACAAGCTGACTGCTGGGAGAACTCACCCTGCAGGAATGGCATGAGTTCACTGGCAGGGTGGGACGCCAACACCCACACACCTCCTGTTAGACCCCGCCTGCTAATATTTTATTCCTGTAAATAGAACTGACGAACCTCCCTATTCTTACACTGCTGGAGAAATCCAGATGTCTGGGTGTCCAATTTGGCTCCTTTCTAGCTGTTCAATTAAAACTTACGTTTTTTACTTCATTTATTATAATTTATTTAATTTTCCTGGTTACTCTCCAACAAATAGTATGTGAATGTTGAAAAAATGTATCATTAGAGAAACTATCAAATCAGCCAGTTTAATATATTTGAAAAATAAAAATATACTCCACACGTTATTATACTTATCAGATCACTATTATTTAAACTATTGAGAGACTCAAGATTTTATCAGTGCACTTAAATAAGAGACAAGTCAAAGTGATTTAATAATTTCATAAATAAATGAGAAGTTGTAAAGTGTTAGGTACCTTATAGAATACTGTCGAACTAAGAAACTGAACTCTGTCAATCATTCTCTTTTGAACCGCTTTCTAAACGATTACTAATTCTTCACTAAACACGTTACCTTTTGAGAATATTGGGAAACATGTTTTCTCTTTGTTTGTTGTACTGGGATTGAACCTAGGGCCTTTACTCTGAGCTACATCACCAACCTCTCTCCCCTTCCTTTGTAAGTTTTAGTTTGGTTTTTTTTTGTATTAAATTCTTTTATTGGTACATTGTAGGTATACAACACAATTACATTTCTCATTGGGAATTGTACCTTTATATAATGCATCTT